TCTCTCAGGCGAACAGAACGATATGGCACCCCCAGCCCGAACTGTGGGTTCTGCACCTCTGGCTTCTCGATGGGAGCCTACGGACCTCCCTGAGAGCGTGCTAAACACAATATCTCAGGCTAGAGCACCCTCTACAAGGCGGCTCTATGCCCTTAAATGATCTGTCTTCTCCGCCTGGTGTATGGCGCAGACCCAATTTCCTGCGACATATCTCTGATATTGTCCTTCCTGCAGGAGCTGTGGGATAAGGGTCGTGCCCCTTCCACGCTCAAGGTCTATGTAGCAGCCATAGCAGCCTCACACACCCATATAGCTGGCCAGTCAGTGGGCAGGAACAACCTAGTTGTTTGCTTTTTGAAAGGGTCTAGGAGGCTCAACCCACCTTGCCCTGTCACCGTCCCTACATGGGACCTGCCCACGTTGTTGAGGGCTCTTAAGAGCCTCCTTTCGTTGACCTTCGTCCCCTGACGCTTAAGACTGCTCTGCTACTAGCATTAGCATCGGTAAAGCATATGGGAGATCTGCAGGCGCTATCAGTGAGCCCCACCTGCCTCGAATTCGGGCCCGACGACTCTAAGGTCATCCTGAAACCAAGGCACGGTTATGTACCTACAGTGCTCTCTACGCCATTTAGAGCACAGGTGATAACTCTATTGGTGCTTCCTCCTTCGGAGCAAGACCAAGAGTTGAACTTACTCTGTCCCATCAGGGCGCTGAAAGTTTATGTTGAGCGTTCCGCCCCGTTCAGGCGGTTGGATCAGCTATTTGTATGCTTCGGTGGCCGCACCAAGGGTTGTCCGGTTACGAAGCAGAGACTTTCCAAATGGATATTTGACGCAATTATGCTAGCATACACTTCTTTGGGCCTCTTCCTGGGCCTGGTCTAGCGGTGTGTCCATTGCAGAAATTTGTGTGGCGGTCGGCTGGGCCTCGCCGTCCACATTTGCTAGGTTCTATAACCTAGAGAGTCTTTGACCGTGACAAGCTCAAACTCTTAAGTTAGTTACTTGTTGATTCTCGGCCCCTGGGGCGTCGAGGTTGGCCCTCAGTGAGTTCCGAGGCTGTACTGAATTATTCCGGGACGATGATACAAGGCTAGGCCGACCTCTCTGAATTTAGCCCTACTGCCCTTTGCGGGGCTTCCCTGCAAAATACTTAGTCCCTCTGGGCCCCCCTGGGTGCTTAAGGCAAGTTCAAGTATTAGTCGTTCCTCTAGCATAGCACGGCGGGATTGTACTGGTTCCCCAAAGCGAATGACCCCGCCCATTCTGGCGGGCTTTGGCAGGCTTTACCGCCGTAGGCTCGTGCAGCTCCGCTGCCGAGCCATTGGTTCGTTTTTAATACACTGCACGAACCAATGGCCGTGCAGTTACACTGCGTTATTAAAAGGCTTCAGTCATCGAAGAAAAAGGAGTTTTTCCCCAAAGCGTCTTAAACAGACGCAGTATGAAGGAGTTTTTCCCAAAGCGTCTTAAACAGACGCAGTACTCGGTCCGTATCTCAGGGAACCGAGGTTACGTTAGTAATCGAGTACGTTTTGTTAATATGCAGTGTAATGAGTCTAATTTAAATGACAATGACTTAATTTAAATACAGCATGGCTATTCTAATATTTAGTAGCTGGTTAAACTGGATTGTGGATGGTAAGTGAATACGATTTTTATACTGAAGTAATGTGCACAAAACTGATTACAAAGCAACTTAACTTGTTAAGTTAGTTATTAGGTGAAAGTGAAAAAACACAAATACCGTATCACAGTGGTAATGTCTTGCATGTGCTTACGTAAAAAGCTAAAGCATATTCCTTATGTTTAACTTGCATGCATTTAGAGCCCTGTTCCATTGATCAGATTGGGCTTATTGAGTTTATTTTCGTCCCCAGACCACGCTGCCCACAGCAGACCCATCACAGGACAATCACACCGCTGCCATCACTAAGATATGTGACGCAGACGCTCCTGAAGGTAAGACCGTCATTCTTTATCACCCACAGAGTGGCCGACTTCAGTGGATAACGCTTCACCATACCATAGGGAATGGTTGGTGAGGAGTTTTAAAGAGATTGTATCATGGAAAGTGTTTTTTCTTGCCTATTTGAAGATAAAAAAAAAATTCCTGCAAAAAAGCCAGTTATTACAGAGGTCATTTACATATGGAGGTGTTAAATGTACAGTAGCAAAAGTATCCAGTTAAATTCTAAGGGGCTAATATATATACGCGTTTATGCATTTTTTGTGCAAGAAGTCTTGACTAACATTATACAGTAAGTGGACTTCAGGGAAAATAGGGTAGTGTATTGGCCATTTAAAGAGTCTGTGGCTGTGGAGTGCAAATGTAACTGCCCACATTTTTCACACTTGGTTCATATTGTTCCGATTCATTTTCTTCATTGTGATTTAAAAAAAAAAATCAGTAAAGATTTCTAAGCCATGAACTAAACCAACTCTGAGATGAATGACCACAGTAAAAACTTGAAAAGGACAAAAGATATACTACTGTTCAAAAGTTTGAGGTCAGTAAGGTTCAAAAGTTTTTGGTCTTTTTTGGAAAGAAATTAATACTTTTATTCACAAGAACAGATTAAACTGGTCAAAAATGACAGTAAACACTTGTATATCTTTATATTTCATAATTTCTATTTCAGATAAATGCTGTTCAAAGAATCATGAAAAAATGTATCACGGTTTTCACAAAAAAATATTAAGCAGCACAACCAGTTTTCAAGATTGATAGTAATAAGAAATGTTTCTTGTGCACAAAATCAACACATTATAATGATTTCTGAAGGATCATGTGACATTAAAGACTAAAGTGGACTGCCATCACAAAAACAAATTAAAGTAAATTAATTAAAAAATTCAAAATATAAGTTCAAAATAAACTTTAAAATATATTAAAATAAATATACAGCTGTTTTAAAATGCTATATTTCACAATATTACTGTTTTAATGTATTTTTGATCTAATAAATGCAGATTTGATTAGCTTAAGAGACTTTAAAAATCATTAAAGAAATCTTACTGACCCCAAACTTCTGAACAGTAGTGTATATATGTCTGTGTATTGTGTATCAACTTATCCCATGAAACACTGTGAATTACGCAACTGAATCAAAACTGATAGTACAAGATAAAACTATAAATGTATAAATATAAAATAAATATTTTATTAGTTTATTGCAAAATAGTCATTTGTATGCAAGTGGTTTGAGAGACTCAGTTTCATCATTCTCAGTGCTTCATGGGCGTGAATCTCTTGCCACAATTTACATTTTCATGGTAACAGCAATTGGTGTCTTCAGAATTATGGGTAGTTTAGTTCTTCACTGGGAATTTTGCAATTAAACTCGACTGAAATCGCACTTCAGTGATGTCGCGTACATCACCCATTAACAACCTCAGAGCTCATAGCAGGTCTGTTTTGAAAGGTTTATTTGTTATTGTTCAGCATCAGTTTCTCTATGGAGAAAATAAACAGGATTTTTACTTCTGGAACCCTACTGTTGTGCTATGTTCTATATGCAACAAACTAATATTTGCTTATTTTCTCGATTACAGTGCTGGCCATGCAGATAAAAGTCCAAATAGAATCCAAACGGTCCTAAATATTTATTTGTACGTCAGTTATGAAGAGATGAGCAGAGTACTCCATAAATAGAATGAAATAGATTTAGCAGAAGACAGCATGAAGAAGAAGCAGTAGTATTAATGACGCTAGATGTCATTGTTTCAAGCGACGCTAGATGTTTCAAGCGACAGCTGAAAACCCATCTCTTTCGAAGCTACTTGACTTCATCATAAAAAAAAAGGTGTGACGGACCATTGCTTTTTTGTACTGCTGTATCTGAATGTATCCAAGTGTTTGGTTTTGTGTGATCAGCCAATGAGGAAAGACTGTAAATAGTCTTGATAATACAAAGATGTGAAGTTAGATGTCGTGCCTGCTGAACGTGACCCTTGCAGCTTTTCTCTGTGTTCATTACAGAAGGGTGAGACGGCAAATAACAGTCTGTCGGAGAGAGATCTCCATTAATTAAAATGCTGTAAAATTAGTGGCTTAAACCAGCAAATGTGTTAATTACGATCAATAAGGTTAATTGCCACCATACATTTGCGGTTAATTGCAGATAGATCCGTGTGTGTTGAGTGTGCCGCACACAAGGCGGAATCTAGATCAACATATTATAGACACTGCACTCAGAGATTTTATTCTCACGATGGCAGAAGAGAAAAAAGGCAGCTTAAAATACCAAACAATGTTGGGATTTACTGTAAAAGCTTTGATTTAGTGTTTTAACAGCGTGATATTGTGCTCTGCATTGTGATGAGTGATTTTAAGCTCTTTAACATCTAGTTAACTTAATACCAGGTCTGTCTCTTAGTGTGTTTTTTGACACATTTTTTACAAGATCAACTTCAAAACCTGGGAAATGGAGCTATAAGTTATTCCGAAATGTCACGGTGGATTCGGATCGGATTGGTTATGGTTTGATATACTGCCATCCAGCCTGAGAGTGCAGCCATGATACTGTTTTCCATCCAGAGGAGGGCACTCCGATATTACATTCCAATCACATTGGAGGATATTGGAATAATAATGAAATCAAAGATATTAATATGCAATTGGATCAGTGAACCAAAAAGAAGTGGCCAATCTTCCTTAATTTCCTTAAGACGTGTCCCCCATCAGCTGTAACCTTTCTTAAAATACACCTCTCTATGCTGGGCTAGATTCCACCTGCTAATTGCTTCTCACTCACTTCAGGTCCCCAGATTGTGCTAGAATATCAGACTGACAGACTAAGAAATTCTTCTGCTCTCCATTTTTATCGGCTGCTATTAAAAATTCAGGTCATGTTAACGCTGACTTCAGCCGCAAAGTGATCGTATTAGCTAGATAGTTTACATTTTCTGAAGAAAATGTTCAAAACTCACTCTCACAGTTCCGGCAGCGTACTGTATTTCTATGCTGTTGCTAGGGTGTTCTAGGTGGTTGCTAGGGTTGTTGCTACGCAGTTGCTGAGGTGTTCCGAATGTTTGTATGTTTCTGTGCTGTTGCTAGGGTGTTCTAAGTGGTTGCTAAGGTAAATTGTTTTTGGCATGTTTCTATGCTGTTGCTAGGGTTTTCTAGGTAATTGCTAAGGTATTTTGAATGTTTTTTGGCATGCTGTTGCTAGGGTGTTCTAGGTGGTTTCTAAGGTGAAATGTTTCTACACTGTTGCTAGGTTGTTCTAGGTGGTTGCTAAGGTGTTCTGAATGTTTTCTGGCATATTTTATATGTGGTTGCTGCTAGGGTGTTATAAGTGGCTGCTAGGGTTGTTGTTACGCAGTTGCTGAGGTGTTCCAAATGTTTTTATGTTTCTATGCTGTTGCTAGGGTGTTCTAAGTGGTTGCTAAGGTGAATTGTTTTGAGCATGTTCCTATGCTGTTGCTACGGTGTTCTAAGTGGTTGGTAAGGTGAATTGTTTTTTGGCATGTTTCTATGCTGTTGCTAGGGTTAATAAGTGGTTGCTAAGGTGAATTGTTTTTGGCATGTTTCTATGCTGTTGCTAGGGTTTTGTAGGTAGTTGCTAAGGTGTGTTGAATGATTTTTGGCATGTTTATGTTCTATTGTTCTATGTTCCTATGCTGTTGCTAGGGTGTTCCAGGTGGTTGCTAAGGTAAATTGCTTTTGGGATGTGTCTGTTGTTACTAGGGTATTCTATGCAGTTGCTAAGGTGAACTGTTTTTAGAATGTTTTTATGCTGTTGCTAGGGTGTTCTTGGTGCTTGCTAAGGTGGGCTGCGTCTTAACGCTCTAAAATGCTGCCTTCGGAGGCAGCATTCCAAGGCGGGAAGGCAGCAAGGCACTTCCATATCCAAATTCTGCTTAACATCCTGTCTCCGGAGGTACCTTCTTCTGATCGAATTTTGAAGGCAGCATAGATGTATCCTTCGCTGCCTTTGATATCCCACAATCCTGTGCGTTCCATTCCGTGACGGTTGAGCTAAAAAATAAAGATGGCATCTGAAAGTTGCGTTTGGTGGTCAGTTTGTGTGTAAATGTATATTTCTGACTAACGTTTTGCACTTTTGATGTTATTTCTAGTGAGAAATTAGTATTATAGTAATCAAATATTTGTTTAGTTATCACTAAAACTCGTTCTAGTTTGTTGTAGATCACTAAACCGTTACACTGCCTCAGAAGCCTGTCCGGAATCAGTTTCATGAGGTTCCTTCGTGCAAAAACGCTGCCTGCAAAGTCATTGCCTCATAAGGCAGCGAGGCAGCAAGTCAGCTGCCTAGGCTTTCGGACGCAGCCATGAATTGTTTTTGGGATGTTTCTGTGCTGTTGCTAGGGTGTTCTAGGTGGTTTCTAAGGTGAAATGTTTTTGGCATGTTTCTACACTGTTGCTAGGGTGTTCTAAGCAGTTACTAAGGTGAATGGATTTCAGCATGTTTATTCTGTTGCTAGAGTGTTCTAGGCAGTTGCTAAGGTCAGTTGTTTTTTAGCATGTTTCTGTGCTGTTGCTAGGGTGTTCTGGGTGATTTCTAAGGTGAAATGTTTCTACGCTGTTGCTAGGGTGTTCTAGGCGGCTGCTAAGATCAGTTGTTTTTTAGCATGTTTCTGTGCTGTTGCTAGGGTGTTCTTGGTAGTTGCTAAGCTAAATTGTTTTTGGAATGTTTCTACACTGTTGCTAGGGTGTTCTAGGTGGTTAAGGTGAATGATTTTTGGCATGATTATTCTGTTGCTAGGGTGTTCTAGGTGGTTGCTACACAGTTGCTGCAGTGTTCTGAATGGTTTTTAGCATGTTTCTGAACTGTTACGGCTCAGATCCCTTCAGTGTAAGTAAATTCCACTCATTGTATCGCCTGCCAGGTGAAAAGAAAATGTCAGATTGCTCTGAACAGTAATAGCACACCTAAACAAGCCGCATGATTTGAAGTATCATTCAAGTTCGTAGCACAAACGCCACGAGTTGTACA